CCACTGCCCCCCCCGCAGTTGTTGCCAAAGACAGCAATGGGACATGGAGAGGGGAGGGAGGCAAGGGCACCACCATAACTGGATACAGTAAGACAAAAGAACAAGCCACACAAGGACAGAAACGAAGGGAGACGAGTAGAACTTTCGGAGCCTTGAAGAAAACGGAGGTGATATTCAACGACCACCACAACGGATGCACTACGGTAGCGTGTACTCACTCCTCCATTGCTGCTGCAGCAACCACTGCAGCCGCCATTGATGTTGCAACAGATGCTGCCACCACTGCTGTTGCTGCCCATGCTGCTGATGCTGGATAGAAGGTGCTGCCCTTTGGGTGACGGACGAGAGGAGAACAGAGAAGAGGAGAGGGCAGGAAAGGAGGGGTTTGATAGCTGAGCATGGTGGGTATCTGGCTGGCAGCACAGCAGCAAACACACATGAGCGCAGTGGAAAAATAGTAGATACGGCAGAGCAGCACAAGCGAAAGCATGAAACAGAGAATGGAGAAGTGGTATACTACCTGATCTGATCCACTCACAACTCCTTGTGTGCAGCCTTCCGAAGAACCATCAGCCACTACACTCACAACTAAAGGCTTGGAGGCCATGAGGCATGCTCACAAATGCATCAACAAGCATGCTCACGCACACTCCTCAAACCACTCCCCCCTCCCAAACACACACATACACACACAGGCACATGCGCACATACAGCAGCAGTCAGTGTGCAGTGAGGGGACTATGAACGAACAGGATAATGCAAGAAACTGCAAGGCAAGAGAAGGGAGGGGCCACTGGTAGAGGCACAAACAAACCACAGACCCCCAAGGGAACCTGAACCTGAGGGGGCTGTGAGGCCTAAGGGGGACTGAACCTGAACCTGAAGGGTTACCTGCAAGAGGAGGGGTCTGTGGCTTGTGAGTTGAGCCAAAACCATCCAGTGGCGAGATTTCAAAGGAGAAAGCAGTGAAGCACATGCAATACTACAAGTGATGAGCGCTTGGCATCACAAAAGGGCAAAGGGTATCGCCGAAAAAATACTTAGCTGGAAAGTCAAGGCGTTGTTGTAACTGCTGCTACAAGTCGCCAATGCCCCGTCCACTCCCTGCCATCGCCCTCCGTCTCACAGGCCGTCAGGCACACACACACGCGGGGAGAGACGCACACAGACAGAAGCAGGGCAAGCCGACAACAAGGGAGGGTTAGAAGCAGCAGGAGGCGAGTGGTGGAGGCAAGGGCAAGAGACACGACTGTTGCCTCTGCGCGGCGACGCCCTACGACTCACTTCACTGCCCCCCCGCAAGCACCCCCTGCCACGTACCTCACTCCGTCCGCCGCTCTGCTGCTCCTGCTCCACGCCTTCCCCCCAAGCAGCACCACCCTGCTGCTTCCCATGCTGTAGGCTGCTCGACCATTGCTGCTGCTGCTGCTGACGCTCCTCCTGCTGTTGCGGTTGCTGCAGTCGTTGATCTCCTCGCTACCCCCTCTGCGTCGCTGCCTCTGACGCTCCTGAAACACACTAACGCCGCACACCATGCCACACCACAGGCCCCAAGGCACAGCTGCATCACACGGCCCCTCACGCAAAGGCTTGGAGGCCATGATACAGTCAGTCTTGGACCCATCCGCACATGCGCAAAAAGAACCGCAGACCAGAAGAGCACAAGAACTAGGTTAGTTGCAGGCAGAGACGAGCAAGAGAGCAAGGCAGCAAGCAACTGACTGACGACTCTGCGCTGGTGGCGCTCTACGACCTGCTCTCCCCCCCAACAGCTCCTCCCATGGCACTCACCAGGCCACGCCCGGTCCGCTCTCCTCGTGTGCGCGTCAGCATGCTTCGAGGCGGAGCAGCCACCACCACCGCACCACGAGACTCTGCAGGCCGTCAGAAAGACACGTGGTCATGAAGAGTCGTCTCCTTGTCCCGTCTTTCCTCTCGAGTCGATGGCCTCGTGGTTAGCCGGTTCCTGCGGCTATCGGAGCGACGGTGGAAGCAGTGGGCGACCGCCGGTAGCTTGTCATTCTGATACAGGCTTGGAGGCCATGAGGCATGCTCACAACAGCATCAAGGACCACACGCACACTCCTCGTCCACACGCACACACATATACACACACAAGCACATGCACACACACACACACACACACACACACACACACACACACACACACACACACACACATACACACACAAGCACATGCGCTGCTGCTACAAGTCGCCAACGCTGCTGCTGTGTGTCGGCCAGGAACGAAGCCCGGACGCATGTCACGCCCCGTCCACTCCCTGCCACCCCCCTCCGTCTTGGAAGCCGTAAGGCACACACATGCAGGGGGAGAGACGCACGCACACAGAAGCGGCACAAGACGGGAGGGTGAGAAGCAGCAGGAAGCGAGGGCAGCAAACACGACTGTTGCCTCTGAGCGGCGACGCCCTACGACTCACTTCACTGCCCCCCTGCAAGCACCCCCTGGCATGTACCTCTCCGCCCGCTGCTCTGCCACTCCTGCACCGTCCATTCCCCGTCCACTCGCTGCCATTCCCGTTTGTCTTGCAGGCCATGAGGCACACACACGCATGGGGGGAGACACAGCCACACAGAAGCGATGCAACAAGGGAGGGTTAGGAGCAGCAGGAGGCGAGTGGTGGAGGCAAGGGCAAGAGACACGACTGTTGCCTCTGCGCGGCGTCGCCCTACGACTCACTTCAGTGCCCCCCTGCACGCACCCCCTGCCACGTACCTCGCGACCGCCACCGTGTTTGTGCCTTTGACGCGCCAATGTGGCGTTGCTGACCCTTCTCCTCGCTGAACGGTTGTCTCTCGTGCGAGCCAGCAACGGAACGGAAGCCCTGTCCACTCCGTGCCATTCCGCGTCCACTCGCAGGCCGTGAGGCACACACACGCATGGGGAGAGAGGCAACGACAAAGAAACGTGCAACAAGGGATGGTTAGAAACAGCAACAGGAGAGTGGTGGAGGCAAGGACAAAAAGACACGACTCTTGCCTCTGCGTGGCGACGCTCTAGGACTCACTACACTGGCCCCCCTGCAAGCATCCCTTGGCACGTACCATGCTCCATTCGCCGCTCTGCCACTCCTGCGCCACGCTTTCACTTGAGGCGTGCTGCTCCAGGCTGCTTCTCGTCCGCGCCAGCAATGGAAGCCCCGTGCATTCCTATCCACTCGCTGCCATTCTCGTCCGCCTCGCAGGCCGAAAGGCACACACACGTATGGGGAGAGAGGCAGCCACACAGAAACGTTGCAACAAGGGAGGGTTAGAAACAGCAAGAGGCGAGTGGTGGAGGCAAGGCCAACAGACTCTTGCCTCTGCGCGGCGACGCTCTAGGACTCACTGCCCCCCCGCAAGCACCCACTGGCACGTACCATGCTCCGTTCGCCGCTCTGCCACTCCTATGCCACGCCGTCACTTCAGGCGTGCTGCTCCAGGCTGTTTCTCGTGCGCGCCAGCAATGAAAGCCCCGTCCATTTCCCGTCCACTCGCTGCCATGCCCGTCCGTCTCGGAGACCGTGAGGCACACACTCGCATGGGGAACGACGCTTGCACACGCACGGGGAGAGTCGCACACACGCAGAAGCAGGGCACGACGAAAAGAAGGGAGGGTTAAGAGCAGGAGGCGAGTGGTGGAGCGTAGGCAATAGACTGGGACTCTTGCCTCTGCGCGGCGACGCCCTACGACTCACTTCAGTGCCCCCCTGCAAGCACCCCCTGCCACGTACCTCGCTGTGTCCGTCGCACCACGAGACTGCGCTGGCCGTCAGAAAGTGATGCGAGCATGAAGCGTCGTCGCGGAGTCGCGTCTCTCCTTCCAATTCGACGGCCAGCCACGTGGTCGGCTATTGTCTGCGGCTAAGAGTGCGACGCCTGAAGCGGAGAGAGACGGCGGAAGCGATGGAAGCAGAGAGAGACGGCGGACGCGGAGAGCGAAGCCGGAAACGGAGAGCGACGGCGACAGCCGGTAGCGTGTCCATTTCGGCGATGAGCAGCGGGCTGTCACGTCGATGTACGTTCAGCGCACGAGGTGATTGCTGGGTCGACGTGAATAGCACCTACATCGGTGCACAAGCATCGGACGCCGAGGAAGCAGGGTGGGCGACGCTTCTATAAGCGACGAAACAACTGCTGAAAAAAATCGACCGCCTGCGACGATGCGACGAGAACAGCGACTAAGAACTTCAGGATCATTGGCGTCCGATGTTCCGACTACTAAGTTATCCTGACATGCTCCAAAGGTCTGTCTTGAAGTACGTCTGTCTACGGCTACCATGTATCTCAATATCGGCCTCCGTCGTGACATTCGTCTAACCATCTCATCTCAACCTCCGTCTTAACGTCTGTCGTGACATCTGCGTTAGAATCTACGGTACTCCCGGCTTCACTCAATTGATAATAACGTCAGCTGTGTCAGAAAACTACAGCGGCTATGAAGTCTAGACCGGACCGCCGACAAGAAGAAAATCCGGCGACAAAATGACAAGCGAGCGAGGAAAGGAAGACCTCCGGAGAGTCACATATCAGTCTGTGGTATTTCCTTTCACCTACTCGTGCCCAACGTTGACTTGGCACAAGAGGCGGCGGGAATGTAGGTGGCTGGGAAAGCTGAGCGTCGGCTGGTTACGGCGAGCTCGAGGGAGATGTAGCTTTGGGAGTTGGGGGCGTTGGGGGGAGTTGGCAAGTGATGTGAAAAGTTCCAAGCGACCGCGTTGCGTAGGGATTGGCTGGGCGAGACAGTGTCAGGTTCAGTCAGGTGAAGTTTGAACAAGTTTTGGAGGGAAAATCAGAAAGAACGGAGACATGGTGGTTCGATATTGTTACGATGCTGAAAATTGGATGAACAGAGTGCGTCTATAATTACATACAGTGTATCTGTGCACGTTTTGGTCATACTCCCTCCCACAAAACCACCAGAACAAAGCACCACTTCCCCACACTACCTCTCACACAACCACTTCTCCATTCCTCTGCGAAGTTTGTTCGTTGTGTCCATGGCGTGCCTCCTTCGGCCGCTGCATCTGCCTCACGGAGCGTATTTCCCGGCAACTGCCATCTTCGCGCGCGCGTGCTTCACAACCGCCCGCTCCTCGTCCCTCTCTCGAGCCCACTCTCTTGTCAAGCCTCCCTCACGTTACCTTCTCTCGACGTCTCAACGGTCGTCAACAGCAGCAACCGAAGGGACGGTTGCAGCCGCAATAAGCGCTTGCCAAGGTCCTTCGCGCGTTAGCTGCGGAGGCGCTAACACCCTGTATGGCCCGTTGAAGCCGCTCGATAGAATCACTTCGTCCGCTCGGCTTTCCGGAGGAAGCAGTAGCATCGCGTCGTGTGCGGATCGGATTGAGATTTCCAGCGCATCTGCAGCGCGTTGTGGGCCGAGCTACAGCCGTTGCTGCTGGCACGGAGGAGCCGGCCGGCCGGCCGCGGAGTCGAGAGGGGAAGAAGTCCGCTCTGTTGCGACGTCGGCGGTGGTGCAGCGGCAGCAGGAGGCGGAGGTAGCGCAAGTGGAAGGGGAGACCGGGAGAGACGCGGAGGATGGGGGAAGCACACGGGCGGGGTCGACAGGTGATAGCGAAGGAGGCGAGGGCGGCGGTATTGACGCGACTGAGGTGTGTAGTGGGTCGATTCTTAAAGCCTCGAAAACCGATGGATTTTTTCTTTAATCAGAGAAACCCCACTCGCGAGTGGTAAATTCTCCATTTCCCGCACCCCTGTCCCTTACCTCTGTTCCGCTCCGCCCTAGCTTCCCTTCCCATCCTTCACTCCGCCCTCCCCCTCCCCTACCCGGTTCCCCACCTCCCTGCTGCTGTGTCTCCACGTGGCAGGCGGCGGTAATGGCGGCGCTTGAGCAAGGGCTGGGGGGGGCGTTGAGCAGAGAGGCGGTGGTGCCGCCGCCACAGCCGCTGGTGGTGGTGATTAGCGGGCCCAGCGGCGTGGGGAAAGACGCTGTTATCAAGGTACCCGCCGGCCCAACGAACCGTTGCTGCCTGTCGGACTTTATCTAATTTCCCTTACCAACACGCACCCCCCCAACTCTCTCTCCCCCCCTCCCCCCCCCCTTCTCCTCTCCCTCCCCCTCCTCCAACCCCCACTCCCCCGTCCCTTCTCCTCCCCCTCTCACCCCTTTTACCCCTTCTCTTCTGTCTCCGCTTCCTTCGTTCCCCTCCCTCCCTTTCTCCGTTTTTCTCTCCGCTATAAATATTCATTTTCCCAGACTCTCTCTCCTTCCTTCCTTCTCTCTCTTTAATCACGAAATTCATAAAGCATATCTCACGCATGCTTTACAACGCCATGCCGACACAAGTACATGCCACCACCATGATCGCTCACGCACATTCCCTTCCCCCACATCCCCTAACGTGTACATTCATGGCGGTGTGTGCATGCGTGCATGACCCCCTAACCTCCAGTGCCTGCAAGAAACCCGCCCTGACATCCACTTTGTGGTCACGGCAACATCCCGGGAGCGGAGAGCAGGCGAGGTGGACGGCCAGGATTACATCTTCGTGTCGCGCGAGGAGTTTGAGGCGATGAGGGATGGGGGAGAGCTGCTGGAGCATGCTGTGGTGTACGGTGACTATAAGGGCATCCCCAAGAAACAGGTGCGGCAAGGACGACGTGTGGTGCTGTGCTGAGTGGGCTGGGAAGGGCGAGCTGGTGACGATCCTGGATCTGTATATGTTTGTGAGTTGGAGTTGTTGTTTTTATGCATGAGAGGCTGTTGAGGAACGCACCAAGCGATGGGATAGGTGTGAGTGAGCGTTGAATGCAGGAGGGACGTTCTGAAGCTTTTAAACAACTAGTGTGAATGTGGTTGGTTGATTGAGTATACGAGATCATTGTGGCAATGCTGAAGCATCTCCTGGTCCGTCCACCCGTCCAGGTGCGAGACTCATTGGCGCGTGGCACAGACGTGGTGCTGCGGATAGACGTGCAAGGAGCAGCCACCATGCGCTCGCTCCTCGGGTCCTCTGCTGTGTTCGTCTTCCTAGTGGCCGAGACAGAACACGCTCTGGTGCAGCGCCTGGTGCGCAGGAAGAGCGAGTCTGTGGAGAAGCTACTGGTGCGTGTAGGCACGGCCCGAGAGGAGCTGGGGCGGCGAGGGGAGTTTGACTATGTGGTGGTGAACGCTGAGGGACAGCTGGAGGCCACTGTGGACACGCTGTGTTCGATCATTGATGCTGAGAAGCTTAGAGCGCATCGCCCTGCTCTGCTGGAGCTGTGACTGCATATACCGCAGTGGGATGTCTATGGTGCTGGTATAGTGAGATGCGAGAGTAGTGTAGTGCGGGTTTGTTGCTTGTTAGATATGGAGGCACCTTAGTGGGAATAGACATAGGCACCTTGCTTGTTACCTCTGTTTATGGGTAACATATTATTCAGCTTACTGGTGGGAGGTGCTTTGAAACTTAAAGCCCGCATGCAAAATAGTGACCCCCCCCTTCTAGTTGGGTCCACTTGATATACTGATTCAGATGTTTTGTTTGTAGGGTGTAATGTGTTGCAGTTTTTATTTTTTTTCCAGATACTGAACCATCTTTCCGATTTTGATCGAGGAATCTGGTCGCAGGGTTGGGCAAATGTGTCGTAAGGGGTGCCAATATCACATTCGTGGCATATTCACATTCGTGCCACATTCACATTCGTTCCACATTCAAATTCCCAGTTCTACGTCGAAGGAATTCCACATGCAGAGACAAACACTTGCATCGGCAGCGCCTGAGCCTTCAGCAAAAAGTGAGAGCTGTAGGAATGGGTTCGGGGGTGTGAATTATGCAGAGAAATGTTAGAATCTAGCCTAGTCTAGGTCACTAGAGTAGAGAGAAGTGATGTCGATTAGGTAAGGAGGGGGGGGTACAAGAGTGTCGAGGAAATCTAGTTGTACCCTCTAGGGATAACCCCTACACAACCTAGAAACATATAAACATATAAATGTTTTGACAAGAAAAACAAACAGGAGAAGGTGATAAACAAAGTGAGTCAAGGAGTCGGAAGAGGAGAGTGAGAGGCCGACGGAAACACGGACGCGAGGGGAGAGAATAAGGGGGCAAAGGTTACTGGAGAATAAGGCGACGGGACGGGACGGGAGAACACGAGGGCAACAGGAAGGGACGGGAGGTGCGAGCGCGAAGGCGATGAGAGACGAGAACGTGAGCACGAGGGAGATGGGAGGGGAGAATCTGCGTGCGAAGGCGATGCGAAGACAGGAGAACGTGAGCGCGATGGCGAGGGGAGGGGAGAACGTGTGGTGCTTGGGAGAAGGAAGGGGAGTTTCTGAACACGAAGGTGATAGAAGGGGAGACCATGAGCGCGAAGGCGGTGCGAAGATGGGAGAACGTGAGCGCGATGGCGGAGGAAGGGGAGAACGTGAGCGCGATGGCGACGGGAAGGGGAGAACGTGAGCGCGATGGCGGGGGAAGGGGACAGGCACAAGCGCGGTGGCAGCTTGTGAAGGTTCTGCAAAGAGCGAGAGAGGCCACAAGGCCAGTTCACATGCAGAGATGTATATGCAGCAATAGCACAGTGATCACTACCTAACAAGAGCAAGCATGCAGGTACATATGTATAGATCACAGTACAAGCACAATCTACAGCAAGTGTGGAAACGTAGGCACAAGGCCCAACAAAGTACAAAAGCGCTGATGATCACCAGACGGAAGTGCCTTGGTGAATATATCAGCAGTGTTGGCCCGAGTGGCCACGTGAGCAAGACGAAGCTGACCCCGCTGCTGCAACTCTCGAGCCAGGAAGTAACGCAGAGCAATGTGCTTCGTTCTGTGCTCCAGTCTGTGCTCCTGACACAAGGCAATGGCGGCCTTGTTGTCGACGTACAGCACTGGAGGAGAACGAGGCCGCTCTCCCAGGTCGGTCAGCAGGTAGGTGAGCCAGCGTAACTCCTGTGCAGCCATGGCTGTGGCGTAGATCTCAGCCTCACAACTGGAGCTGAGAACTGAAGACGAACGTGTAGAACGCCAAGAAACTGAACCAGAGCCAATGCTGAAGGTGTAACCCTGTGACGACCGCTGCGTAGCCTGGTCGTCAACCCAAGAAGCGTCCGAGTGACCAGTGAGGACAACGTCGCCCCGTCCTCCAAGCACGAGCCCCATGCCCGATGTACTGCACAAGTAGCGCAGTACCCTCTTAGCAGCATCCATGTGCACCTTTCGGTGCCGACCAGGAGCCACGTAGCGAGCCAGAAGGCCAAGAGGGTACGCGAGGTCAGGACGAGTGCAGGTCATCAGGTACATGAGGCAGCCAACTAGCTCTGGGTAAGGACCACTCGGCTCTACGGACTCGTCCGAAGGTGGAGCTGAGAGCGAGTGACCTGTACCCAGAGGAGTGTGATGTGCCGAGGACCAGGTGAAACCGAAGCGCTGAAGGACCTGCTGGACCATGTGTGACTGAGTCAGGGTGATGGTGCGGCGTGCTCTGTCCCGGGTGATCTGCAAGCCAAGGTAACTGCGCAGCTCACCCAGGTCTGTGCACGTGTGTCTCTTCTGCAGCTCCGACTTCACCAGGGCGAGAGCCTCAGTGTCAGCAGTGGCAAAGACCAAGTCGTCGACGTACACGAGGATGTAGAACGGCGGCAGCGAAGTGTCGGTGCGCAGAAACAGCGATGGGTCAGCAGTCGACGGAGTAAACCCAAGAGCCGCAAGTGTCGTCCTCAGTGTGTCGTGCCACTCACGTGGCGCCTGGCGGAGACCGTAGACCGGCCGCCGGAGGCTCCACTGGGTACCAGGAGGGAACGACCCAGTGAAGCCAGGTGGGCGGCGCAGCCAGATCTCCTCGTGCAGGCTGCCCTGTAAGAAGGCTGTGCTAAAGTCAAGAGAGTGAAGCTCGTAGTCACGCTAAGCGGCAACGTGCAGCAGCACCCGAAGAGTGGTCATCTTCGGGGTGGGGGAGAAGGTCTGGAAGAAGTCGACTCCCTCCCTCTGACTGAAGCCTCGAGCAACGTAACGAGCCTTGAAGACAGGCGGAGAACCTGGCGGTCGCTTCACCCTGAAAATCCACATGCCACTGACGATGTTCGCCCCAGGAGGGGGAACCTCGTCGACGTATGTGCCTGTGGACTTCCAGGATGCCATCTCTGCGTCCATGGCTGTCTGCCACTGAGAGGAGTACTTACCCGCGATCGCCTCAGCGTAAGAGCGCGGGGTCGGGATGTCTGGAGCATCCGGGTCTCCCTCAGGGGCAAGCAGCATGGACACGAGATGAGGCGCAGCGGCTGCAAGACACTCAAGGTCCTCCTGCCTGTCCTCAAGGACGTCCGTGCTAAGGGCACACTCACCCCCGACGGACGGAGGACAGACAGACTCAGACTCAGAAACAAGACTAGCGGCGTAGTCTAGACGACAGGCAGCAGCAAAGTCAACAAGCTCAGCGACTAAGGCAGACGCAGCAGCAGACTCAAACGACGGGTCAGTGACAACAGTGGCTAGCAGACGCGTGACAGTAGGGTGCTCAGCACGAAACCGGTCAGACTCAGGCTCAGGAACGGTAGGCAGAGAAGACGCAGGAGGGGACGGCAGGGGAACACGCTGCGGAGGAGAGGAAGGACGACGGACTACGAGGTGGGTGCCGAAGACAGCCGGCTGACGCGAACGAGGAACACGACGACCGGAACGACCAGAACCGACAGGCGAGACAGGACGCGACGCAGACTCACGACGCTCTGTAAGACCCCCTGTCTGCTCAGTGTAAGGAGAAGGAGCAGGCAGCGGTGAGCCAGGCTGTAACGGAAGACCAGTAGACGAAGGGAGACTGAGAACCTGGCGAAGCACAGAGTTAGACGGTGGCTGAGACGACGGAGACGGTGGAGCAAAGAACAGGCGCGGCTGTGCAGTGCCACCAGCACCAGCACCTCCAGCACCTCCAGCAGCTCCAGCACCTCCAGCAGCTCCAGAACCCTCAGCGCCAGCTCCTCCAGGACCAGCTCCACCAACAGCAGCACCCCCAGAACCGGCACCTCCAGTCCCAGGGTCTCCAGCCTCAGTTTCTCCAGCAGCAGCACCCTCAGGCTCAGCACCTCCAGCCCCAGCAGCTCCAGTACCTCCAGTACGAGCACCTCCGGGACCAGCACCACTCCCAGCTCCAGTGACGTCAGCAGAAGTACCTCCAGCGGCAGAGCCCCGAGCTCCAGAAGCGCGACCCTGACGTCGACCGTACCAGTCGTGCAGCTGCTGTGAGGTGAGAGGCACACGCGGACGAAGGCGGCTACTCCAAGGAAACCGCGCAACAGCAGACTCAGAACCCTCAGCGCCAGCACCCGCAGCAGCTCCAGAAACTCCAGCGCTAGCACCCGCAGCAGCTCCAGAACCTCCAGCGCCAGCACCCTCAGCAGCTCCAGCACCCTCAGCAGCTCCAGAACCTCCAGCTCCAGCGCCACCAGCGCCAGCACCTCCAGCAGCTCCAGAACCTCCAGCTCCAGCACCCTCAGCAACTCCAGAACCTCCAGCAGAAACAACTCCAGTAGCAGAGTCACCAGCTCCAGCGCCTCCCGCAGCAGGGCCCCTAGCTCCAGCAGCGCGACCCTGACGGCCAACGTACCACTCACTCAGCTGCTGTGGGGAGAGAGGGAGTCGACGACGAGAGTGCAGCGGCGAGGCACCAGCGGAGCGACTACGAAGACGGCCGCTCCAGGGAGACTGCTCACCAGACGCCTCAGCGCCCCCAGGCGCAGCACCCCCAGACTCAGTACCCCCAGGCTCAGCACCCCCAGACTCCTCACGCCCAGGCTCAGCACCTCCAGTCTCCGCACCTCCAGGCTCCGCACCCCCAGGCTCAGCACCCCCAGGCTCTGCACCCCCAGGCTTAGCACCCCCAGAAGCAGCACCCCAAGCAGGACCACCCTCAGTAGGACCTGAGTCACCAGTGACCTCAACCGGCGCAGTCAAGGGAGGAGGGTCTACCTGAGACACACCTAAAGGAGCAGGACCGGGAGCGGGGAGGGGGTCTACCTGGGGAGCACCTGGAGCGAGGAAGAGCGGCGGGGGGGGGGGAGAGGGGCAGTGCGGTAGGGGAAGAGACGGTAAAAGGGAACCGACTCGTCGAACGTGACGTCCTGAGAGGGGAAGACACGGCGCGAGGTGGGGTGGTAAAACTGCCAACCAGGCGCGTCAGGGACAAAGCCAAGGAAGACACAGGGAACAGTGCGGGCGGAGAGCTTGTCCGCGGTGGTATCGTGGACAAAGACACGAGCACCCCAGACCCGGAAACGCGACGCAT